CAGCAAGATCTCCATGTTGTCTTCCCAAGGAAAGAAGTTCATTCAGATCTGCTTTTCCCTTGTTCAGTTTTCGAACAACTTCTGCAGTTCGGTTCAACTCAGCAGAGTTTGCCTTCAGTTTGCTTTCCATGCTAGCATGTTCGTTCAACATCCGATCAGCTTCATTTTTCAGTAGTACAATTTCATGGTTCCGCTCGGCAAGAAGTTTCTGAGTAGAGAATAGTTCATTCCTCAAGCATTCAATGGTCTGAGCCTTATCCAGTCCGTCTTGTTTAGCAAGTTTGACACAGCTCTCAAGGATGCAAGTTCGTGATTAGCAGTATCCAGTTCACACTCTTTAGTAGCAGTGGAGGCGGATGCTTTTTCGTTCAACACCCTGTTTGCTCTCGAAAGTCTAAACACTTCATTTTGAAGCTTCTGTAGAGCTTTAAATGCTTGAGCGCACTTCTCCATAGCAAGCAAGTGAACTGGATCTACACACACAGTTTGATCTGATTCATCCTCAGATGCTTCAGTTTCTTTCAAACTTTCTTCAAACTTGGTCGGAGCATGAGAAGTGGTGAGGCACATGAACTTCTTGACTGAGGTATGAACTGCCAGGTTGCTTGTGTGCAACGAAGGTTCGTCTGTGCCCTCTTCATCTGAATCTTCCCAGGTTGTCTTCAGTGACTTATTCTTCTTCTTAAGATTAACACACTCATACTGGAAGTGTCCAAAGCCTCGACACTCCCTGCATTGATCCTTCTTGACTCGTTGTGAATCGGATTTTGAGTGGCATACTACTTTTCTTGTCCTGCACCACATTCTTGCTGAAACTGTTCTCCTTTTTTCCAGCAAATTTGTTCTTGTACAGCCTTTGACTCATCTTACCATAGTTTCGCACGATTAAAGCTAGTTCTTCCTTCAGCTCACTGTCATCTGCCAACGTACCTTCATCGTCATCGCTTTCTTCTGTTTCCTCGACTACAGCAGCTTTGAGAGCTAAGCCTTTACTTTTAACTTTGTCATAATTGTTGTTGATTTCAAAAGTTCTGAGCTCTCCAAGAAGTTCATCAACATCCAATGAGGCCACTCTTTCGAAACTTTCAAGAGCTGTGATTTTCTCTCTAAACTTGGGAATGATGGTTCTCATAATCTTTTGTACTTGACGTTTTTCAGAGATTTCTTCTCCAAGCATCATGCTTTGATTTACCAGATCACAGAATCTGGCATAGTATACGTCAATTGTCTCTTCATCCCTCATTTTGATCTCATCAAATTCAAGAGTTACCCATTGAAGTCTGGACGCTTTGACAGCCGTTGAACCTTCAAATTGATGCTGTAAGACCCTCCAAGCATCTTTTGCAGTTTTTCAATGAACTATCATCTTGTGTCTTGTCTGATCAACTGCCATCATAATCGCATACAGGGCACAATAGTTGGCTTCTTCTTGAAGCTTCTCAGCATCTGTCCAGTTGTCCTTGGGTTTAGAAATCGTGACAGTCGTTGTTTCTTTACCTTGACCAGGTGCTTGTTGCATGACTGGATGCTCCCAGCCATTTTCAACACTTTCCCACATGCCTTTTCCAAGCGATCTCAGAAAGATTGTCATCATAGACTTCCAATACGAGTAGTTCGAACCGTCCAATTGCGGAGGCCTGGACATCGATCTACTTTCTTGATTCATGATTTGAGGGTAACAAACGTCCTAGGATCTTTCGTAATGAAGACGAAAACCCGCTTTGGTGCCAATTGTAATTTGATACTTGAACACCAAGTATCCAGAGTTGCACGTAAATTGAATAGACAGACTGTAATGAAGATTCAAACAATTGCGGAAGCAGTTTTTCACTGAAAATTGAATCTTCAGAAGAGCGACCCACTCTCCTTTCAGATCTCTTTCATTAATGTGAACAACTCATACATCATCCAAGGGTTTACAGTATAGACTCCCTCTACACTCTACTTGAGTGATGATTCACACAACTACTTATCCGACCACAACTTCCTTGTGGATTTTCTAGTTCGAATCCCTCAAACTATAAGAACGAACCTCTGAACGTTCTTTTACAAAATGTTCTAAAATATCTCTCTTTTTTACTCACCGAAAGAAAAATAACTAACAAAAAAGATATCAAAAGTCATCCTCAACTCTGGTCTCGTCCTCCTTTTATCTTCAGCATCCTTTTAGGAAAATCTTCTCATCCAAGACAAACGCATATAAGGAATGATAATCTCGCGATTCTCCTTCTTCGATTATGGAAGGTGAATCTTGCGATTCTCCTTCTCTTTAGATTATGGAAAGCGTATCTCCCCCTCAATCCCAAGGTCCTGCCATAATAAAACATAAATAATCAGTCCTTTGGACTTAATTAAAATTAAGACTTATTCATACCAAAAATAAACTTCCCTTAAATACTTCCATAAATATCTGGTCTCTGTGAACATCAGAAGGTTCATTGATTTACTGCCAATCTTAAGCACTTTCAAAATTCATAGTATTATGTAAATTCGTATCTCATATTATTATATCAGTAAGAATATATTATAGTTATATTATCATATTACAAAAAAAGAAAAATTAAATCCATACTGTAAAAAAATCATATAATTTTATAACAATTCTACTGCAATGTTTAACATTATTCCTTTTTATTATATAATAAAATAATAATTAAATATTATATGGTGAACAAGAATAAGTAAAACTGTTATTTTCTCTTATATCAAGTGATAAATTTATATGCTAAAATTAATTTTTATTAGTATAAATGTATTAATGAGATAATATATTAATTATTTTACAAGTTAGCCCTAACATGTTCATATTTAATTCTTTTTTGGCTAAAAAAAATGTTGGTTAAAAGATGTGGAAAAAAGTTTATAACCCTATTGCTTTTTAGACTTAACGTTAATTTAAAGAGGTAGAAAATAATAACCCTATTACGTTTTAGATTTAAACGGACAAGCAGACTATGAAAATAGTTCATTTAGTATCTTTGTTTCGTGCATTGCACGAGATACCTACTAGTTAATTGTTTAGAGAGCCACTAAATTATATAATTGGGGGCCAAGGAATTTGACACAAAATTGGAACTCACGCAACTGGAGGACTTTGATTTTGTTGGATTTCTATTTGGTTGCCAGCAGAGCTGCGAGAGAATGGGGGATAAATTTTTTGAGCTATAAAAAGAAAAATAGACGACGTAGCATCAAGCCCGTAGCACACTGATAGAGAGCCATGCCCAGATGAAAAAGACTACATATGCAGAGGGAAGCTGCAAACACACACGAGAAATTAATTTTATTCTCTTTTTTTATCTATTATCTAATTTATTAGTATGCTAGGCTAAAATTTTTATCCAATTTGAAGGATGTTTGAGTCATAATTTCAATTTTACTATTGATTGAATGATCTTTTACTTTTATTGATTAATTAAGACACCACATTTATTTGTCGATAAGTTGATTCTTGTTATCTATCTATTTTTAATGTTAATGAATTGTAGGTGTTTGATTTAGTTTGGTCATCTACGTTGAATATTCATAGTTTATTTGCTAGAGACGAGGCTTAATCCGTCATTGTTGGGTAGGGTGAACATTAGTTAAATGGTCTAAGCTTTCGTGTCCATTTCTTAGGCTAATCTACTTTTCTAGGATCAATGCTGCTAGTGTATGAAATCTAGATACTTTGTTCTAGTTTGTCCACTAGTTAGGTTTAATCAAAGTGTTTATCTCGATTAAATGCTCGGTAGGAAATTCGGTTAACATAACTTGTTGTTAACTAGGGTTGATAATTTATTAGCAAAGAAGTCGTTCAAATTAATTAAGGGTATATGGTGATGATTGAATCGAAAACTGGACTTTTCTTATTTACTTTTTTGTTTTATTTTGTTAATTTTTTTATATATAAAATCAATCTCTCCATCTTTATTGAGTTATTAGTTTTAGTTCGATTAATACAAAAATAGTCACAATTTAGTTCCTCTTCCTCGTGGGATTGACTTTTACTTGCCGCTACTACTAGTTAGTAGAAGTTTTTTAAGAAAAAATTATAAATTTAAATTTGTTACGTCGCGACATGCGGTCACTATTAAATATGATTACGATTTTACCATCAAAATTATGTGAAAAATAAAAACGTTTTTCAAAACAAAAATTCTATATCCTTTCAAGACTTTGTTGTTTGGTTGGTATTAGGAGATATGGAAGAAAATAGTTTGGGGGATATGTGGAGGAAAGCAAATTCATGAGAGATAGATAATTGTGCGAGAATATCCTGATTGATTTTTAGGAGACGTGGAATGTTTTGTTTGTATAATTGTATCTAGTTAATTAAATATTTGTTATATGTGGTAGAAAGCAAATTCGTCAAGAAAAAGTTGCGCGAGAATATTGTGGTTGATTATTAGGAAACATGAAATGTTCTGTTGGTGCATTCATGTTTAATTAATTAAATATTACTTATTAAATATAAGATAGAATGTGTATTCTTGTATGATTAATTTGTCATTAAAAATATGCCAAATTAAGAATTTTTTTTAGGTAAATATTAGTTATTAATTAAAAATATAAAATAAAATAAATATAATATATCAAGTTTAAGGGTATTTTAGATCTTTCATTTTTTATTTTTTTTTACAAGGACACACTCTTCCTTTCAAAGTAATATAGATTTATCAATTTTCACGAAACATAAAATGCTAGCCACGAATTGCACTTGTTATTGAAAAACAGTGAAGTTATGCCAAAAGTTGAATTCGAAACCTAAAGCACGATGATCTAATAGTTATACTAATTGAACAAATTCAAATAAATAGGTACTCATAAAGACAAGAAAGAAGGAATAAACACAACAGAAAGTTTAAAGAGCAACAGAAATCTCCATTTTAGTTCACAAGTACAATCACAGCATCACTACAAAATTTTGAACATGGTCTAATGCAACAGAGATACATAGGTCTTCTTTATTCACCACTCCAGCATATAACAACAAATAATACTTTGTTATATAACAAAAATCATTTCACTTGGAGGGACTCTGAGTTTAGCCTAAAATGTGATAGCAAAGGGACCCCGTCGAGCCCTTTCGTATACCGTATCCAAACAATCTCCTCGCCCGTGGCTTCTCTATAAATAGCCGGATTCTCTTCAGACAGCAACTCCTTCATGGGTCCGTACAGCCTCGACTGACTGCTTTCTTTCATATGCGGTCTGAAAAAGAACGCTACCGAGAGTCTTGGGCCCTCATTATTCGCTAATACTCTATGGTACACGCTTCTGAACTTCGCGTTTGTTATGAGCTGCAAGAAACAAAATTATACTGCGTATAATTTTAACGGCATTTTAAAATTTTTTTAAAAAAAGGGGAAAGGCATATTAATGGCATAGGCTTTCCTCCATAAGGTCTCCAACGTTCACGACTAGTGCTCCCGGATTAGAAGGCACAGCGACCCATTGGTTGTTGTGAAGAACTTGAAGCCCACCAATTTGATCTTGAAGAAGTATTGTTATGAAGCCACTGTCTGTATGACTGCTTAGCCCCAGTGTCAGATCAGGCTCGGGGCAAGCAGGGTAATAGTGGCCCGTGACGTATAGTCCTTCTGCACAACCCATTTCTTTCAAGTGATCTCGGTTTAACCCAAGAGCTTGCGAGAGAAGTTCAAATAGAGTGACGCCTAATTCCTTCACTTTCTCGGCGTATTCCATCATGGAGTCTCTAAGAGATTGAAAAATTAAAATAAAATCACTTCATTTCTAGCTATCTTCACATATATAATCCAACTTCAGAACTTCTCATGTGTAAACTCTGACCCAGATGCAGGCAGGATAACTAGTATAGTACGATAAAGATAAGTTTCCGCGAACAAGGAAACAATGAGAAAATACATTTTTAGTCTTGTTAGTTCAACGTCATATCAATTTTAGTCCCAATGTTCTAACTTTTCTCCTTTTTGTCTTATGATTTAATATTGTGAAACAATTTCAATTGCAACGAAATTTGAAATTACATAATTGAAATTGTAACAAATTTTATATTATAAAACATAAATTCCTAATAAAAAATCTACAAATTTGAGAATTTGTCGCAATTACAGTCCTTTGATGCTGAAATTGCACCAAAATTACATGATCAAACAGCGAATGTTAAGATCTAGCGACTAAAAATATTATAACGTTAAACTAGCAGGACTAAAATGCAATTTAACAAGCAAACAAATAAAATATTGGTGCATCAAATAAACACTTCTTTTGGCTAAAAAAAAGTAAAAATAATAAAAACTAGTTAATAAGCTAACACGAACCTGCAAACTTGAGGCAGGTCTTCAGGGCGAGGAGGCTCAGGAGCCATAATCAAATAAAGCGTGTCCCTCCAATTCACACTCGAAGCTTGATGCAAATCGAAATTACTGTTATAAATCACTTTCTTCTTGAAATCGCGCGAGTAGTACCGCCCCTTGACCTCGTTATCCAGCTCGTGAAAACTCCGAACGCCACCGAGCACTTTGCTCATGAGGCTCGTCGGAATCCCATGATTCACGAGCTGGAAAAAGCCCCATTCACGACAAGCCTCTTCGACTTTGTTAATGATGTCCGAGCATCCCAAGTCTATGACGGGGACACTTGTTAAACTCTGTCTGCTGCCGGAATTAGTTGAGTTGTTCTCGAGGATGTATTGTTCGTTCACGAATATACGTGGAATTTTTTTCAGGCCAGTCTCCGTGAGACCCTTGACGCCGGATTTGGTATCGTCGAATGCATTTTTTGCAGTCTTTGTGTCATATTGGGAAATATTTGATGGGTGCACTTTGCCACTCTGTGCTAACTCCATTTTTCTCTGTCAAGTGTAGAAGTGAAACAAGCAAGGATGAAACTAAATTAAGATAATATATAAAGTAAAGGTGGACTTTTGTGATGAGCCATAATTGATAAGAACGAGGGACGTATTATTTTATATGCAGTGCCTTAGCTGGTATGAAAGATTATTATTATTTTTTCAA